ACCGACTCAAAACCAACTAGGTCGGCCGTAGCAGCAGAGGCGACAGAGGGCAGGAGGGGGGAGGGGGAACACCCCTCAAAGATGGGGGTGCGCGGGTCACCACGAGAGGCCCCTACAGCGAGAATGCTCTTCTCGGCTGCTAGGAGGGACTTCTCGAGGAGGTTAACAGTGAGAGTGGTGGGGCAGACTGAGAGTAAGTCGTCCCTGACTCTGCGGAGGGAGTCAGGGAGGCGGGTGACAATGTAGTAGAGAGTGAAGTACTGGGGGGGGGGGTTCTTGGCGCAGAACTCAGCAGGAAGCGCAGCGCGGAAGCGAGCGTCACTAGTGCGCAGGTGGGTAATGAGGTCGGCGACTGTGGCAAAAGAAGCAAGGTCGGGAAAGAGGTACGGTAGCATGAGGCGGCTCAGTGCAGCAGTGGCAGGGGTGGAGTAGCGTGCAATAACGGCGTCGTACAAGGTCTGAGCACTCTTGTACGACCCAAAGTGTGCACGCTCAGAGGGAGGGAGGTGGCGACGCACAGCAAGACGTACAGCAGCATCGCGTGTGGCCCACTGTGAGCGAACAGTGGCATCCTCAGTAGCACCAGGGGCGGGAGAGGCACCAGAAGTGAGATCAAAGAGAGAGAGGCCGTCAGCTCTGTCGCACTGTAGGAAAAGCAGCAGGTCGTCTACCCACACGTCAAAGTCGATGGCTCTGCCCTCAGCGTCGAAGGTGAGGACACTGGGGGTAGCCATGACAGCAGTGGGGTAAGGGCAGTGCGCAGAGTAAAGCTCAGTGCTCACCAGACAGGGCAGTGCAGGCGGCTCGGGCGGCTCGGGCGGCTCGGGTGGCTCGGGCGGCTCGGGCGGCTCGGGCGGCTCGGCGGGTCGGCTGCTGGGCGGCTCGGGCGGCTCGGCGGCTCGGGCGGCTCGGGCGGCTCAGCTGCTGGGGCGACTCGGCTGCTGGGGCGGCTCGACTGCTGGGGCAGCTCGGTTGCTGGGGCTGCTCGGCTGCTGGGGCGGCTCGGCTGCTGGGGTGGTGCAGTTGCTGGGGCGGCGGGGCCGGGAGATGCAGCTGCGAGGTCGTTAGGGGTAGTGGCGGGGCCGGTAGGTGAAGCGGCGGGGCCGTCAGGTACAGCAGCGGGGCCGGCAGGTGAGACGGCGGGGCCTGAAGATGCAGCAGCGGGGCCGTCAGGGGTAGCAGCGGGGCCGGTAGGTGCAGTGGCGGGGCCGTCAGAGGGGACGGCGGGGCCGTTAGGTGCAGCGGTGGGGCCGTCAGAGGGGACGGCGGGGCCGTCAAGTGCAGCGGCGGGGCCGTCTGAAGCAGCGGCGGGGCCGGCAGAGGGGACAGCGGGGCCGTCGGGTGCAGCGGCGGGGCCGGCAGAGGGGACGGCGGGGCCGTCAAGCGCAGCGGCGGGGCCGGCAGAGGGGACGGCGGGGCCGTCAAGCGCAGCGGAGGGGCCGGTAGAGGGGACGGCGGGGCCGTCGCAGGCGATCGCGGGGCCGTGAGCGACGGTGCCGGCGTCGCGAGGGTCAGAGGGGGGGGCGGCGCGCGACTGGAGGGCGGCACGCGCGACGCGGCGCGGCCGTCAAGGGGCGGCGCGACGAGGCCGCGTAGGTGGCGCGTGAGAATTTCGCGGGCGGCTCGACGCGATCAGGCCGCCAAAGGAAAAAAAGGGCCCAGCGCGACTCGGGCTAGGGCAGAGCGCGCTCCGGGCAGGACGGAATAGTAGGTGGGCCCTAGGAACAGTTCCCACTAGGGAACCTGCTCGATACCATGTTGAGATAGAGGCGAGGAATGAAGATGCAGTATGGAATGAAAGAGGTACAAGTACCAACCCTAATTGGGTTGTACCCCCTATGGGATACCCCACTACAGCCTACATATATGCATCAGCAATATAATCATCTGACAGTGTCATCGTCTACTTGGACGATATCCTCATTTTTAGCAAGACACGGGAGCAGCACCTCCGCGACCTGGATGCAGGGTTTAAGCGGCTGCAGGAGAACCGACTCATCACCAAGGGCTCTAAGTGCGAGTTTTTTAACCAGGAGTTGGAGTTTTTGGGGCACGTCATCTCGCGCGACGACATGAAAATCGACCCGGCGAAAATCAAGACCATACAGGAGTGGAAGTCCCCGACGAACGTCACGGAGCTCCAGAGTTTTCTCGGATTCGTGAATTACGTCCGGCGTTTTATCCCGAATATGGCGAGGATAACCGGCCCGCTGACCGACCTGTTGCAGAAGGACAAGAATTTTGTGTGGGGGGAGGAGGCAGAAGCGGCTTTCCAGGAACTCAAGAATTTCCTCGTTTCCCCTCCTGTGATGCGCATCGCCGACCCATCGAAGCCGTTCGAAGTTGTAACCGACGCCTCAGATTTCGCCATCGGAGCTGTGCTTCTCCAAGATTTTGGGAACGGGTTGCAGCCGATAGCTGTCAGAACTTATAGCTTACTTGTTTCTGTAGGCTATAGTGGGGTATCCCATAGGGGGTACAACCCAATTAGGGTTTCCTATTTGTACTCACTTCGTTCATAGTCATTCCATTCTCGTTCTTTGTTTCCACATGGAATCAGAGCAGGTTCCCTCCTAGGGACTGCTTCTAGGGCCCACCGAACCGCGCCCCGAGGCGCGTTTTTTTTTTAGCGACCCGTCGTGTCGCCCCTAGCGGACCGTTGCGCCGCCCTTCCCCTTGCGGCTCCGCCGCCCTTCCCTAGCGGCCCCGCCGCCCTTCGATCGCGGCCCCGCCGCCCTCTGCTACGCGGCCCCGCCGCCGCCCTTCGATCGCGGCCCCGCAGCCCTCGGCTACGCGGCCCCGCCGCCCTCTGCCTCGCGGCCCCGCCGCCCTCTGCTACGCGGCCCCGCCGCCCTCTGCTACGCGGCCCCGCCGCCCTCTGCTACGCGGCCCCGCCGCCCTTCGATCGCGGCCCCGCCGCCCTTTGCCACGCGGCCCCGCCGCCCTCTACTACGCGGCCCCGCCGCCCTCTGCTACGCGGCCCCGCCGCCCTTCGATCGCGGCCCCGCCGCCCTCTGCTACGCGGCCTCGCCGCCCTCTGCTACGCGGCCCCGCCGCCCCCTGCTACGCGGCCCCGCCGCTCTCTTCGGTCGCGGCCCCGCCGCCCTCTGCTACGCGGCCCCGCCGCCCTCTGCTACGCGGCCCCGCCGCCCTCTGCTACGCGGCCCCGCCGCCCTCTGCTACGCGGCCCCGCCGCTCTCTTCGGTCGCGGCCCCGCCGCCACTCTGCTACGCGGCCCCGCCGATCCGCCCAGCAGCAACCGCCGCCGCCTGAGCCGCCGCCGAGCCGCCGCCGAGCCGTCGCCGAGCCGCCGCCGAGCCGCCGCCCGAGCCGCCGCCGAGCCGCCAGAGCCGCCGCCGAGCCGCCCGTGACGCCCGAGCCGCCCGCGCCGCCCAGCAGCAGCCGAGCCGCCGCCGAGCCGCCGCCGCCTGAGCCGCCGCCGAGCCGCCGCCGAGCCGCCGCCGAACCGCCACCGAGCCGCCGCCCGAGCCGCCGCCGAGCCGCCCGCGCCGCCCGAGCCGCCTGCGGAGCCGTGCCGCTGTTCCTCTGCTGCTGACCTACCCGCCTCTCCCAGCCCGGTGAGATTTTCAGCTGCTGTCATGGCCACCCCCAATGTTCTTACCTTTGACGCTGAGGGGAGGGCCATTGACTTTGCCGTCTGGATTGAAGACCTGCAGCTGTACTTACTGTGTGATGCGATAGATGAGGTCTCTCTCTTTGACTTTGTCTCTGGCGCTGTCCCTGCCCCACCTGCTGATGCTGACTCTGCCGTTCGCTCCAAGTGGGCGACCCGCGATGCTGCTGCACGTCTTGCTGTGCGTCGCCACCTCCCTTCCTCTGAGCGTGCCCACTTTAGTCAGTGCAAGACCGCTCAGGCCTTGTACGACGCTGTAGTTGCACGCTACTCCTCCCCTTCCTCCGCTACCCTTAGCCGCCTCATGCTACCGTTTCTCTTCCCTGACCTCGCTTCCTTTCCCACTGTCGCTGACCTCGTTACCCACCTCCGTGCTAGTGACACCCGCTACCGCGCTGCCCTTCCTGCTGAGTTCCGCGCTGCGAACCCTCCTCCCATGTACATCACTCTCTACTTTCTCGTCACCCGTCTCCCTGAGTCCCTTCGTGTCGTTAGGGACCAGTTTCTCTCTGTCTGTCCCACCACTCTCACTGTCGACCTCCTTGAGGAGTCCCTGCTAGCGGCTGAGAAGAGTATTGTCGCTGTAGGGGCCTCTCGGGGTGACCCTCGCACCCCTATCTTTGAGGGGTGTGGTCCTTCCCCCCTGCTGCCCTCTGTCGCCTCTGCCGCTGCGGCCGACCTCACTGGTTTTGAGTCGGTCGGCGCGGCGTCTGCCCCCAGCGGCAGACGCCGCGCTGGCAAGGGCAAGGGGGGCAAGGGAGCGGGTGGAGCTAGAGGGGGCGGTGGAGGAGGCGGTGGGGGTGGCGGGGGGAGTGGGGGTGGCGGTGGGGGTGGTGGCGGAAGTGGAGGTACTGGTGGCGGCGGTGGAGGCGGAGGTGGCGGCGGAGGTGGTAGCGGAGGAGGCGGTGGGAGCGGTGGGAGCGACGGTCCTGGTGGGGGAGGTGGAGGTGGAGACGGGGGTGGCGGTGGAGGCGGGGGTGGCAGTGGAGGCGGGGGTCGGAGTGGCTCGTCCCAGCGGAGCAGCTCCGGGGGTGGTCAGCGCCAGCAGCAACAGCAGCAGCAGCCGCAGCAGCAGCCACAGCAGCAGCAGCGCTCTCGCACCGTCCCCGCCCCTCAGCAGCTCCGTGAGTGGTACTCGCAGTGTCAGCGTGGTGGTGCGCTTGGTCCTTGCCCCTACGTTCTCCGCACCGGTGACCGTGCAGGGGAGAGGTGTGGAGGCGCCCACACTGCCCGCCGCTGCTTTGGCCGCCTGACTGACGCCTGGCGTCAGCAGTTTCCGGAGGCAGCTGAGATCCCCCGCTGGGGAGAGCTGTCTAGGGCTGGTGTAGCTATTTATGATCTTGATTTTGATGCTATTCTCTCTGCTATGTATGCTGCGATTGGTAGTGATGAGGATGACTGTTACCGGTGTTTCCCGCCCGACCCGGGCATTGGTACTGCCGCGTCAGGTACTAGTGAGACTGCTGCTCTAGGTGCCAGTGCGTCTGTGCTCTCAGGTGCTGGTGAGTCTGCCCTCTCAGGTACTGTGTCGGCTTCGGCCTCTCACACCTTCACCCTTGACTCTGGAGCGTCTCGCTCCTTCTTTAGGGACCGCACCACTCTCACGCCGCTGAGTCGGCCGGTTGCGGTGTCCCTGGCTGACCCCTCTGGGGGGCCTGTCCTGTCTCGCTTCTCCACTGTCCTCCCGTGTCCGGCGGCCCCCTCTGGCACCCTGACTGGTCTCTACCTCCCCTCGTTCTCGACGAACTTGGTGAGTGGTGCTGACCTCCAGGATGCGGGTGTCCACCAGTTCACCCCTGCTCGTCAGCGGGTGACCCACTGCACGGAGGCGGATACAGGTCGCCACCTGGCTACGTTTACACGTCGGCCAGGGTCGAGCCTGTACACTCTGACCACTGCTTCTCCTCCAGGTGCTGAGTCTGGTAGGGTCACTTCGTCTGGTCAGGTGTTTGCTGCAGCGTCCAGGTCTGGTCCTGAGTCTGCCCCCTGCTCGTGCCGTCGTTTGTCTCACGAGACCCTCCTCTGGCACCACCGCCTTGGCCACCCCTCTCTGCTTCGGCTCAGAGGCATGGCCTCGCGAGTCCTTGTGTCTGGTCTTCCCCGGTCTCTCCCTCCCCTTCCTCCGGGCCCTGGCCCCACCTGTGTCCCCTGTGTCGAGGGGCGCCAGCGTGCTGCCCCTCACTCCTCCCAGTTTCCTCCGACAGAGGCCCCGTTGCAGACGCTTCACATGGATGTGTGGGGCCCAGCCCGCGTCCGTGGACAGGGTCAGGAGCGCTACTTCCTGCTGGTGGTTGACGACTACTCGCGTTACACCACAGTCTTCCCCTTGCGCAGCAAGGGTGAGGTCACTGCGGTGTTGATCGACTGGATCCGCGCAGCTCGTCTCCAGCTTCGGAGGAGCTTTGGCTCTGACTTCCCTGTTTTGCGTCTGCACTCGGACAGAGGCGGAGAGTTCTCCTCTGGCCTCCTGAGTGCCTACTGTCGTGCGCGAGGCATCCGTCAGACCTTCACGCTTCCGGACTCACCGCAGCAGAATGGGATTGCTGAGCGCCGCATTGGCATGGTCATGGACGTCGCTCGTACGTCCATGATGCATGCGGCTGCTCCCCATTTTCTGTGGCCGTTTGCGGTCAGGTACGCTGCGCACCAGATCAACCTCCACCCCAGGGTCTCTCGACCGGAGACCTCCCCAGCCCTGCTGTGGACGGGGAAGGTTGGCGATGCGTCGGCGTTCCGGGTCTGGGGATCTCGGGCGTTTGTTCGCGACCTGTCTGCGGACAAGCTATCCCCTCGTGCTTCTCCCTGCGTCTTCCTGGGGTTCCCCCCCGACGCCCCTGGGTGGCAGTTTTACCACCCCACCTCTCGACGTGTTCTGTCCTCCCAGGACGTCACGTTCGACGAGTCGGTACCCTACTACCGCCTCTTCCCCTACCGCACTCCGTCCCTCCCCCCACCCCCGCTCTTCTTGGTACCAGGTCCCCCCCCGGTAGTCCCCCTCCCCCCTCAGGGTCCTGCCCCTTCAGGTGTGTCCCAGGTAGACGCGGTCGAGCCTGTCGAGGTCACTGGTGACTCTGGTGCTGCTGCGGGAGCTGAGCCTGGGGGTGCGGAGTCTGGGGGTGCTGTGCCTGGAGGTGCCGAGTCTGGGGGTGCTGTGCCTGGGGGTGCTGAGCCTGGGGGTGCTGAGCCTGGGGTTGCTGAGCCTGGGGGTGCTGAGCCTGGGGGTGACGTGCCTGGGGGTGCTGTGTCTAGGGGTGCTGAGCCTGGAGGTGCTGTGCCTGGGGGTGCTTCGTCTCGCCGGGAGCCACTCTCCCCACAGGAGCTGCGTGAGTGGTTTGCTGGGCGCTGGAGGCGTGCTGCTGGTGCTGGTGGTTCTTCGGCTGCAGAGGGTACTGCTGCTGCGCGCCCCGCCGGCGCTCGTACTGTGGGTGCTGGAGCTGCTGAGTCTGAGAGTTCTCCTGGAGCTGGTCCTGCTGAGGGTGTTGGTGCTGAGCCTGCCGTTGGCGGCCCGACTGACAGTGCTCCTGGTGCTGCGGCTGGAGGTTCTGGAGTTTCTGGTGGTGCTGCTGGAGGTGCTACTGGAGTGGGTGCTCCTGCCGGGGCTGCTGGTGCTGTTCCTGCTGTTTCTAGCGTCGCCGCGCGGCCCCGACCGTACTTCGTTCCGCTCCTGCAGTAGGTTCTTGGTCTTACACCTCCTCCTCCTCCCTTAGAGGGTCCGCAGCCTGTCCGGTCACAGCCACAGCTACAGCCTGCCTCCCCTTTGCCTGCTCCTTCTCCCTACGCTGGTCCGACTGGAGGTCTTACTGAGCGTCGTGAGCCTGCGTCTCGTCCTGTGTCGCCTGTTCGTACTGAGCGCGCTAGTGGTCGCGGGTCGCGTCAGCGTCCTCCTCCTGTCCCTGGCACGCACCGGATGTCCCTGCGTCCGTCCACTGCTCCTCTGCGTGCCCCTTTGCCTTCTCCTCCTGCTTCCTCTCTTCCTGCTCTTGCCGACCCGGAGTCGGACGCCCTTCGTGCTGCCAGTCCTACTGTCACGCATCTCCTGGCTACTGCTGTCACTGACCCCTCCTTCGAGTCGTCTGCTGCGTCTGCCCTTGTCACTGAGCTTGTCGACTTTGCTGCGCGCTGTCGTCTAGACTACGCTGCTCGTCTTGTCGCTGAGTCTGAGTCCGCCTGTCCTCCGTCCGTCGGGGGTGAGTGTGCCCTTGGCACGGACGTCCTTGAGGACAGGCAGGAGGAGTTCCAGTGTCTGGCCGCCGCTTCACCTCGTCTCGCGTCTGTACTGCTAGCCCCTGAGGGAGACCCGGATGCACCAGACATCCCGACTCCGCGCTCTTACGCGGAGGCGATAGAGGGTCCCTACTCCTCTCAGTGGCAGGCAGCTATGGATGCAGAGATGGCTTCCTGGAAGTCCACAGGCACCTACGTTGACGCTGTTCCCCCTCCTGGGGCGAACATCGTCAGTGGCATGTGGATTTTCAGGGTGAAGCGGCCGCCGGGTTCTCCGCCTGTCTTCAAGGCGCGTTACGTGGCTCGTGGCTTCAGTCAGCGGCAGGGGGTTGACTACTTTCAGACCTTCTCCCCCACCCCGAAGATGACCACTCTTCGGGTTCTGCTACACGTTGCTGCTCACCGTGACTACGAGCTGCACTCTCTCGACTTCAGCACAGCTTTCTTGCAGGGCAGCCTGCACGAGGAGATCTGGCTGCGTCGCCCACCTGGCTTCACTGGGTCTTTCCCTCCTGGTACCCAGTGGAGTCTCCGGCGTCCAGTCTACGGTCTCCGCCAGGCGCCACGTGAGTGGCACGACACACTGAGGACTACGCTGGCGGCACTTGGGTTTGCTCCTTCCACTGCCGACCCGTCGCTGTTTCTGCGCACCGACACCTCTCTGCCGCCGTTCTACATCCTCGTGTACGTCGACGACTTGGTCTTTGCCACAGCTGACACTGCTGGACTCGCCTACGTGAAGTCCGAGCTGCAGAAGAGACACACGTGCACTGACCTGGGTGAACTGCGCAGCTACCTTGGCTTGCAGATCACCCGGGACAGAGCACGCCGCACCATTACCCTGACTCAGTCACACATGGTGCAGCAGGTCCTTCAGCGCTTCGGCTTCACGTACTCCTCGCCTCAGGCCACTCCTCTGCCTACTCGCCACTCGCTCTCAGCTCTGCCTTCGGATGAGTCCGTAGAGTCGAGTGGCCCGTTTGCAGAGCTTGTTGGCTGCCTCATGTACCTGATGACCTGCACACGACCTGACCTCGCATACCCTCTTAGCATTCTCGCACGCTATGTTGCTCCTGGGAGACACCGACCAGAGCACATGGCTGCAGCGAAGAGGGTGTTGCGCTACTTGTGCAGTACGTCGGGCATGGGGCTAGTGCTTGGAGGGCGCAGTCCAGTGGTCCTCACTGGGCACGCAGACGCTTCTTGGGCTGACGACCAGGCTACGCAGCGGTCGTCACAGGGTTACACCTTCAGCCTTGGTTCCGGCTCTGTCTCGTGGCGGGCTACCCGCTCGTCTTCTGTTCTCGGCTCCAGTTGTGAGGCTGAGATCTACGCTGGGGCTATGGCTGCACAGGAGTTACGCTGGCTCACCTACCTGCTGACCGACCTTGGAGAGCAGCCTCGTTCTCCTCCAGTCCTGTACGTAGACAACAAGGCCATGCTGGCCTTGTGTCGAGAGCAGCGACTGGAGCACAGAACGAAGCACATTGCTCTTCGTTACTTTCTTGCTCGTGAGCTACAGCAGCGTGGACAGCTGCGACTTGCGTACGTGGCCTCTGAGGCCAACACTGCTGATGTCTTCACCAAGGCACTTGCGCCTTGTGATCATCAGCGTTGCTGCACGCAGTTGGGTCTTGTGCCTGTCTTGCCTCACTTGCTCTCCTCTTGACCTTGCTTGTACTTTCGCATATATATACTCTTGTTTTTTGTATATCTCTATATATGATCTTGCATGTGAACTGGCCTTGTGGCCTTTGAACTTGTGCTCGGAATGCGTGGTGACTTTGTGATCCACCCTGAGCTTTGCTTTGCTTTGCTTGACTGGTTTTGTGACCCCTTGTTCTCCCCCACTTTGCCTATGGGGGTGTGTCAGAACTTATAGCTTACTTGTTTCTGTAGGCTATAGTGGGGTATCCCATAGGGGGTACAACCCAATTAGTCATTCCATTCTCGTTCTTTGTTTCCACAATAGCCTACGAATCACGCAAGCTGCAGGCAACCGAACGCAACTACCCGATCCACGACAAGGAGATGGTCGCCATCATACACGCGTTTAAATTATGGCGATGCTACCTGGTGGGCGCCGACGTCACTGTTCGCACGGACCACAAGTCCCTACAGTACCTGCGAGCCCAACCCAACCTCAACCCACGTCAAATTCGGTGGTTGGACTACATGGAGAGCCACTTCACCTACCGCATCACATACAAAAAAGGGGCTAATAACATCGCCGACGCCCTGACCCGACCGACAGTACAATCCGCTGCAGTACTCATCACCCACTCGAACCCGTTACTTACCGGACTATTTACCCACGGCTACACGACAGACCCATTCTTCACGACGGGAAATCATCAGCAGGCTACGACGCAGAAAGGGGACTATTACCTAAAAGCCGGAACCGACTGGATTTGGGTTCTAGCTTACCGACTGCTGCGTGAACTTCTCATCCAGGAGATCCACGATTCGAACTTCTCCGGACACTTCGGGGTTGATAAAACCCAAAAACTACTGCACCGTCAATATTACTGGCCTGATTCATCTAACGACGTGCAGCGCTATGTGTCCTCATGCAGGGTGTGCCAAGCAATGAAATCGACACGTCAGCGACCAGCTGGGCTGCTACAACCCCTCGACACCCGAACGACCGTGGCAGCAAGTGACGATGGATTTTGTCACGGGGATGCCAGCTAGGCCGAAAGGCAACGACGCTGTTCTCGTCGTCGTCGATCGCTTCACGACAATGGCGCACTTCGCACCATGCCGAACGACAATCACAGCCGAAGAAACTGCGCGCCTCTTCATCTCAATGGTCGTGCGACTGCACGGCATTCCTTCGGCGATCATCAGCGACCGAGACCCCAAGTTCACATCCAAGTTCTGGAAGGAGATTGTGGAGAATAGAACGAGAATGAATGAACTATGAGTGAAGCGAGTACAAATAGCAAAACCCTAATTGGGTTGTACCCCCTATGGTATACCCCACTGTGGCCTACACAACATCATAAGCTACATATATGTTCTGACACACCCCCATAGGCAAAGTGGGGGAGAACAAGGGGTCACAAGACCAGTCAAGCAAAGCAAAGCAAAGCTCAGGGTGGATCACAAAGTCACCACACAGTCCGAGCACAAGAGCAAGGCCACAAGGCCAGTTCACATGCAGGAGTACACACATATATATATAAAGCTAGACAAGCAAGAGCAGGTATATATATGTGACAGTACAAGTAAAGTCAAGAGGAGA